ACAGGTATGTGCTTTACATACAGGATGAGCAAACCAGGGATGACCATTTCAGAAATGCAACAAGGCCACTCCCTCTAAAAAAAGCTCGGTGACTCCTCTAAGGTCTATATTTAGTGGTCAACATTTGCTAGATGTTTGTCACCTGTGCAGTGGAGTACCCAGCTAACGAAGCCAAGATCAGATAGAAATGTAAGACGATAAAATATAGTATAAAATACTCTCCTTGCCATAAATGTAGCTACTTCAATTCATTTAACTCTCAGGCCTCACCCTACAAGCTTTCTGGCAGAGAACAGATGGATTTTCCATCCTCTCCCCCTTCTAGCTCTAAATTAGGCCAGCCCAGCCTCCAGTAACAGCGACAGCCTCCAGCAGATGCAAGGATGCTGACAGAGCAGGACAGCAGGCTCCCCATTCTCGGCCGCAGCACAAACAGGAGGAGGATTGCCGGATTGCCTGGCAGTGCTCAGAGGAGCCTGCACCTCACACCCACTCAGGAGGCAGCTTGCCAGCCTCACTCAGGGATGGAATTAAAACAGGATTTAACCAGGCAGTCTGCGTGACCTCAGGAGCGTGATCTCCCAGGCACAGAGTGCCTCCTGAATCATCCCAAGTGTCCCCATGGAGCCCCGTGTCCCCTGCGACACAGCACCTGAACGGCAGTGCCCGAGGAGGAGGAGATCCTGCGTTAGGTGGCACGAGCAGTGGCAGGAGGGAGGTGACGCTGCAGCAGCACTGATTCATCCCCCCCACCAGATTAGCAAAGCGCCGCAGCAGAAGTGAGCGGTGCTGGAGGGCACAGAGGACGCTGCTGCTCACGGAGCTGTGCCAGGGGACACGAGATGGGGACTGGCAGCTAAAAGCTCTGTGTCAGAGCAGGATGGTGCAGGGAACACAACAGCACGTGGCAGCCCAAACAGCCAGGATCCTACTGATCACCGGGACTTTTATAGAAAGCAGCAACAGAATGAGCCTGTTGGTACCTGGCCCCAAGGACGAGCCCAGGGCACCTGATCCTTCAGCCCAAGAACCTTAATCCTTGGGTACGAGGAAAACTGCACTGCAGGGACTCCCTGGTCTCTGTCCACTCTTTGGGAGCTCGAGGTGATACAGTCACCCCAGCAGACATGTTTTTGGTGAGACTTCACTGCACGAGTGATTTAAGCATTCCTCTGAGCTCATTCCCAGCTGATGAGTACAGCCAGCCAGCTCGACATTAAATTATGGAAAGCAGACCCTCGGGTAACCAGGGCTGAAATAGAAACTCAGCAGTTCCGTGCCCTACCTGGTGTTAACGACTGCATTTCTACTTCCCACCCATGGCGGGGGGGGGGCACAACAACCAACAATACCCACAAAAGCAGTCATGGCCGGGCTGTTTTAGGAAGCTCAGATCACAACACACAACTAGCGAAGATGTGCTGGTAAAGCAATCCTTCTGCCCAGTTCATGCAAGAAAACACTTAAAAAAAAATATCTAAAGCATGATTTATGTCCACAAGTAGAGGATTTTCTGCAGGCCTTGAGCAGCTGGGCTAGGGTTGCTTTGCTCTGCAGTACTGGAGTAAACCTGCCCCAGCACCAACACAGTTACACGTGAGATCTTTACTTGGCACCAAGCTTCCTGGTTAAAGAACAGCACGGGGGGAGGAATCTTTCAGTGTCAGCATGCATGAAGAGCTGAACTGGTTTTGAAATCCATGTTCTAAGAAACCTTTCCCAAACTAAATCCTCATACAATGGAAGTGAACATTTCCTTGTTGTCGCTGATTTCCACCTCAGAAACAAGATCTCATTCAGCTGTCTTCAAAAACAGTAAAAAGCCTCCTGGTCTCCAGATGTCTCTCTGGACTCTTGCACTCCTCTGGACCGCTGCAGCCTGGAAACCCCAACTCTAGCTCCCCTGCAAGCCAGGAGTTGTTCAGTAGCAACTAGCACACCCTGCACATGGAAGGTTTTTACTCTATGCCAAACAACTCCTGTGCCCAGGAAAGATCTGCAGCACAACTCCGTACAGACACGGAATGTGTAGTACTTTTAGGAAAGCAATAACACGTGATTTATCCTCCCCTTGAGCAGGGGTTGTCTCATTAGGCTCCTAGACTATTCACAATATCTCTCATTAATATATGAGCACATAATAATGGGAATATGCATATTTCATTTTGTGAGCCATTCTCATTTAATGATGCTGCTCTTAGGACTCTGGTGAGGGGATCTATAAAAGTCCAGACACCACACTTCTCTGCATTAAACATTCACCAGGATCATTTATTCCTGGTAAGTGTCTTATTTTGTCACTGTATATGAGACAGTATCACAAAGACCTATGACACAATAAGGAACACAGCAATTTTCTACAAACTGAAGGATAAAATACATGTGCAAGGGTGCGAGCTGCTGTCAGTACTAGGTATCAGCTCTGCAAGTGCCTGTCTGGGGCAAATCTGGCATCACATCAAAAATCTTGATGTACAGGGCCCGGTTAACATTAGCTTATAACTAGGAAAATGGGAACGAGAGCGTTGCTGGGTGTAATCGCTCGCTTACAGCCTCTGTGGTTTTGGCAACCATTTCCTTGTGTGTAAGGACGATGCAAGTAAAAGTTCAAGTCACTGCTGAGAGGAGGTGCAGAGGAAAGAAAGACAAAATGCAACATTGAGATTCACAGGAGCTATTTTTTCCTTTTTGCTCTCTGATGTTGTAACAGCAGAATAAACCTCTTCACTTTCAGAAAGCCTAGAAGGTAAGGGTTCCCACGACACTTTGAAGGGTAAACATATATACATCTATGAACGAAGCAACTCATCTACTTTTTTTTACTCTTCTTCTGAAATGAGTCTTTTCCACAAAGTAAGGAAAGGATGGCAGAAGGCAGACTTCCGCAGACCTGCACTGCTACCTCTGCAGATAGTTTGTTTACTCGTACAACTCCTGAACACAGAACAGGGCCAAACACCAGGCACCACACACACAACCTCTGCAGGTGCCTGATTACAGGCCAGCTTACACCAGAGGGGATTCCACACCCTGGTAGCATCCCTACTCACAGGGTAAGTCACCTCACTTTGTCCAAGAAACCAAATTGCCCAGGTCATACACAGAGCGTCTGACAATGCTGGTAGCTAAACGCGCACCCGGGCATGCCCTGAGCACAGGGCCGGTCCCAAGTTTCTGGTTTGTGGCATCTTACACAGCCTCTTGCAAATACCTCACCAGGCCATGCTGCTATACACAGAAGTTAACTAAAGCTCATTTGCCTTCCCATGAGGAGAAAAATGCATTGCTGCAGTTATGAAATCATTCCTTTTGCAGGAAATATCTTTGAGCTGCTTCCTATCAGGCAGCTACTTGAAGCCAGGAGAGTTTAACACAACATGCAGGTTTTGAAAGATGTGCAAGAAGTAAACCCAGCACTGTCACACTTCATACAAATGCACACTGCAGAGGAAGACAGAAGCAGCCACTTGCCCTCTCAATTGAAAAGTTACAGAATAAGCACACTTAGGCATGCAGGGAAGGAAAATTAAAAAACAACAGAGATCCTAAAGCCTGGGGTGGCCTGTGCTCAGAGGGAGCTTCTGCAGCCCTGTGCTTCTCTGCAGTGTGCATCAGGCCAAAGGCAGTCACTGCCCTGTAACTCTGCAAGGCCAGCTCTGCAGGGTGGTTTGGGAGCAGAGAACAGGTGGCCTCGCACTCAAAGGGCATTTCCAAGAAGCAATCCTGTTCCCAGCGGCCTCACCTCCCTCCCAGAGAACCTAAAATCTCTCACGTCCACCCGCCTCCAATAAAAACAACGCCAGGCACTCGGTGCTTTCCAGGAACCTGACCCCAGCGGCCCCCTGCAGCACCTGGCCGTGACCCTGTCCCCAGGGAGAGGGGCACAGGGGAATACAGCCCCCCGGGGCCACAGAGCCGGGGCGACACGGGCAGACTACAGCACCCAGCAGGCACCGCGACCAGGCTGCACCGTGCTGCGGGTGACGTGGGGCCGCCCGAACCAATCCATGCAGAAGGAGGAATGTCAACAAACACGGGCCTCGTGACACCAGGGACACGGCAGGCAGCCCCCCAGCACGGGACCCGGTGGCTACCCGGGTCTGGCATGGGGTCCTGGGCCCCCAAAACCGACAGCCATCACTTGCCAGTGTGAAGCCTCGGGGTAAACAGCGCTGCCGACAGGCTGCCTCCAGCCCCCTGCCTCCACAAACAGAAGGACTCCACTTCATGCTGTTATATCCTGCAGTGTTTTTCTTAAAAAGCATCACTAATGCTGGAGAAAAAAAAACTCACAACACCAGGCCACGCAGCAAGTTAACCAGAAACTCAAGGAAAAAAAAGAAATGTCACTGGAGAACTTGGGTTTCAGAGTGGATCAGTTTTAGCCCCTTAGATTAGTCCTTCAGAGCTGACTTCGAAGGAAAAAGCAGCTGTGGGAAACCACAATAATCTAAAAACGTCTGCTGCAATTTTTAAACACTTACTGATTGCCACAAGGACAACAGAAAAATGCAAATGAAAATCCTCAGGAACCGAAGGCAATCATATGCTACAAAGTCACGGTCACACTATTTCTACATTGTCTAGGAAAATTAAGTTTTCTTAGGCATATCCAGACCCATGGAAGAAAAATAAAAGGCGGGTGTGCCCAGAGTAACTCCTGTAATTTTATTTTATTTCGGATGTTTTGAGAACTCAAGAGCTTCCAGCACAAACATATTCACCCCACACTGCATTTGTATCCTGGGAACAGGAGCTCCCACCTCAGCTCCCAGCTGCCTAAGTTTTATTGTCCAGAGCACAATTCATACATGAGCTGCTCAGCCATCTTTGTCTACCTTTCCATAACTTATGAGGAGACTTTTTTCTCAGAAATATATTTGATAACAAATTGTTAAATTACAAACTGTTAAAAAACAAACAAACAAAAACAAAACTCCAACAATTCCATTCAACCTCTCCCAAATCTAGAAAGCTTTGCCATAAGTGAATGTATTTACCTGGAAGTCATACAAGGCAACGATGTTTTCATGTTTCAATTCCTAGAAAAAGTAGAACAAAGACAGTAAGTTAGGAGCAACAATGGGCATAGACAACAAAGACTGAAGAAAAGGACTCTGTCTGCCTTTACCTTCAGGATTTTAATTTCCTTGCCCAGGAGTGTCTGTGATTTTGCAAGATTCTTCTTGTTAATGCATTTCACAGCTACTTCCAGCTCAGGTTTCTGAAAGTGAAGAAGCGCACATGTAATTCAGAGCTAGATGCCAGTTTTGCCATAAACGTACGCTGGGATAAGCGGCCTCTGAACAGGCTGCAAACACTACAGAAAGAAGCGTCCTGCAGCACCACAAAAGGCCCTGGTGTATATCCCTCACTTGTTCAGACTTGCCCTCTCCTGAGTTACGCTTGCCAGACCGAGGATAAAATCCCAAGGTTTGGGTTGTTCTTATTACTCGATACGCCGGTTATCCTCTTATTTAATCGCTGGAAATAAACACGCCGCGGCTTATCCCAAGCCCTGAGGATGGGAAATCCAGCGCAGGGGGGCTCTCCCCGTAGGGGGGCTCTCCCCGCATGTCCCCGGCTGTCAGGGCCGATGCGGGGGGAGCCCGAGCTCGGCAGAGGCAGCTCCCAGCGGGGGCCCCCCCGAGAGCCCCGGTGGCACCGGGCCCGAGTTCAGCCCGGGCGGAGGGGGCGAAAAATAAAAATTAATAAGAAGGAGGAGCAGAAGAGCTCGTTCACCTCTTTGTGCCTGCCTTTGAAGACGACGGCGAAGGCTCCGTGCCCGATCAGGTCCTTCCTGCTGAACTCAAACTTTCCCACCGTCTCCATGGCGCATGCCGGGGCGAACTTCGCGGCTGGGAAGCGGCGGTGGCGGCGATGCGGGAGCTCCCTGGCACAGGCCGGGTGTCCCCGGGCCTGCCCCGCTGCCGAGGGCGGTCAGGAGCTGGGTGCCGGCCGGCGCGGGGCAGCCCCGGTGCTGTCAGCCCCTCGGCAGCTCGGCGTCTGGCTCCTCCGCCCCCCCTCGCCTCCGTCCATGGGCTGCCTCTTCCTGCAGCAGGGCCGGGCTCCGCTCATCCTCGGCGGCAGCGAAGGAGCCGGCTCCTCAGCGGCGGGCCCTCCCCGCGCCCCGCTCGGCACGGACCGGGCGCCGCTCCCCGGGGCGGCCGCTTCGGGCGCCTCTCCCCGTGCCGAGCCCCGGCCCGGCCCGCCCGGCAGGCGCGGCTTGGCTGCGAGTCCCCCTTAAGCCGCGCTCCGCCTCAACGCCGCTGCCACCTTAAGCGCGGAGCCACCTTAAGCGCGGATCCACCCCGAGGGCCGCCCGCGGCCCGCCGCCCCTCCGGGCTCGCCCGCGGGGTCCCCGCCGCCTCCCCGAGCTCCGCCGCCCGCTGCGGGCCCAGACAAAGCCCGGCGGAGCGCGGCGCGGCGCGGCTCGGCCCCACACAGGCCGGCTCCGGCTCCGGCTCCGGCCCGGCCCGGCCCGGCCCGGCCCGGCGGCGCAGGCGCAGTGCGCGGCGCTGAGGGGGGGAGCGGCCGGCACGGCGGCGGCGGCCACCTGAGGCGCAGGGGGCCGAGCCCGGCGCGTTTAAAGGCGCCGCCCGCCCCGGCCCTGAGGCACCGGCGGGGCGCTGAGCCCCCCCTCCTCGCCCCGCTGGGGGTGACCCCCCGTAAGGAGCTGGAAGCCGGGGGGGGTTGTGCTGCCGTCTGCCAGCTCCCCCCCGTCCTCCAAAAAAAAAAATAAATAAAAAATCTTTCAGAAATGTTTCGAATAACTAAGTAGATGTTGAGTTTCCTTCCCCCTCCCCAGTAAAAGTCTTTCAGAAGTGTTACAAATGGCTAAAAAATAGCGAGTTTTTCAAAATTTACTACAAAAAAGTTGCTAAGGGGGCAGTGTCGGGGCCCCCATACCTCTCTCTCCCCTCCCAAACAAGTCAGAAATGTTTCAAATGACTAAATAAACATTGAGTTTTTCAGAATTTACCATAAAAACATCTCTGCGGGGGCAGTGGTGGCAGCCTCCTCCCACTCCGCCCCCCACAATAAAATCTTTCAGAAATGTAAATAACTAAATAAATGGACAAGTTTTTCAAAATTTACCATAAAATCCCTGCAGGGACAATGGCCGGGCGCACCCCGAGACCCCTCTCCTCCACAGGCGGCTTGTGCTGCACACCCTGGGGCCCGCTGCTGCTTCTCTCTGACATCCTCCGAGGGCATCGAAATGGCCCTCAGCCCCACATCCAGGGCCGTTTTCTAGCCCCCACACCCTGTCCCCAGTCTGCATCCTTATCAAAACACAAAAATCAGAACATGCTATTCCAGCTGCAGAGACAGCACGCGTCTCGGGCAGCGCGCCTGTTTGTGCCTCGCAGTGTGGGGTTTGCTTTTTGCTCAATCGTGTGGCATCGATCCGTGTTCGGATCCCGGCCCTTTTCCTCTACCCGCAGCTGCCAGGTGGGCACGCGTCAGGGGATGGCATCCAGATGTCGTCAGCTCACCCAAAATGTCATTTTGTCGTAATCTGACAGTGCAAACAAACACAAGGCCGGCCAGCTCTGCAGACACGCAGGGCTGAGGGTGCTCAGTGTCATGACGCCCAACAGCTGCAGTTATCGCTGTTTTGGGCAAAAGTGAGGAACAGGCAGCACCTCACAGCGTCAGGCCTTGCTCAAAGGCAGTGTCTGGCTGATACGGTGCCTGGCCTGCGCTCTGTTGCCCTCGTCTGCTAGATAACTTGTGTTCAGGTGCTGTCCTGAACTTAAAATGTATCTGGAAAAATGACAGCTTGTCCCAAAACCAGATACAGAAGCCACAGTGTCTGATCAGTGGTAGTTTGTGCCCCAAACTCCAGCAGAGTTAAGCTTTTAGGGGGAATTGTGCGAGTGAAGGGTGTTCTTTATGTGAATTTGATAGAACTATCCGTTGCAATGGCCTTCAGTCCAAAACGAGCCTGGTGTATATTTGTGATTTCAGTACTGACAACCCTGAGAATTAAAAACTTACTACATTTTTAAAAACACAATATGCTTAAGATACTTGTTTGCTTTATCACTTCTAGGCCCATGACATCCACAATTTCAGGCTTCTGTCAATGATCACAAGCGGTTAATTTAAAAATGAACTCAGAAACTAGCAAAATGGCAAACATCACAAAACTTGCAAAACAAAAAAATAAAAAGTAAAGCTACTTGGCAAGTGACAGACACAGGAATTTACCAGCTGTTTCAAAGCTGCTGTCTTTAACACAGAACCTAACAGTTGCAAAAGCTTAAGGCAGGAAGTGAAGAAAACGTTTTGAAACTTCTGAGATAATTTCTAGGTAGGCAAAATCTTGTATCCCCCCTTCGCTGGAATATAGCCAGGGTGCCAGGGCTTGCAAGCCTGCTCTTGCAACAACTGTGGTAAAATCTCTGGTGACCACAGGTGCTTCTGCCTTTGTTTTGCTATCGCAGCAGAGACACGCAGTTCTAGTTAGGGCAGAGGAGGAAGTCGATATGAACGCTGTTCAATTGTTCTGTACTGTGTGTGCTTATTTGTTATTTCACGTGCTGATGGCTATGAAAAAAATGTGCAACCTAAACAGATTTTGATTAAACCTGGGTTCTAAGGTAGCTTTTTGCATGCAGTTGCCTGCTTTGCAGGCAGCAAAGTCAGCCTCCTCTCCACTGACATGTATTTTTCTTTTAAGCAAAGTGGATTTGTTTATATGCAGGCCTGAAGGCTCAGTGTGTAACTTTCTAGTGGAAAAAGTTAAACTTCAAAGCAGCACAAGAAATTTGAAGGCACTCAGCGATCACTACAAGGATCAGGACCAAGCTGTACTGGATGCCCTGTGCACACCTGAGGCACTACACGATCTTTGTACTGACAGCTTAACACCTGTAGCAATTAAATGGCTCAAATGCATCTTCCAAAAATAGGCTAGTGAAAAGATTTCATCAAATTTCTACAGAGATTTTAAAACTTCCCAAGGATAACTAATAAAACGTAATGCCACTTGACAGCAAATACAGTTTTGAGATGTTTGGAGTGCAGTCTGTAGACACATAGTATTAACAAAACATTTGTTCATGTTGGAACAAAGAAGGCCAACTGAAAAGCTTTTTAATTGAAAGTAGGATTTTTTTTATTTTTTTTATTTTTTCTCCACTGTGGTTTGCTGATTAAACACTTATGCTCTATCAGTTCCTCCCCGATGTCCAGAATTGTGAGAGATTGTATTTAGGCCAGCATCCAACACATGTAAATTCTGTTCTCCTCTGATAGTCTCCCATTTGTTAATGATGTAAGTACTACCACCAACAGGTATTCAACTGCTTCTCAGATGGAGGCATTCATCTTTAGGGGACAGAATATATAGATCAATTTACTAATGCATGGCTGGGGGAAGATCTGCTGTGATTTATGACGGGTGGAGAACTGTACAAGCATACACCCAGCTGTGGGAAACCTTCAAATATTTTCTTGAAATTCTTTTGCAAGTTAGTGCAACTTTTTGTCATTCACATGTGAAGACAAGCAGTGAGATAGCTGATATCCTGGTGATTCAAATGAAACTCTTTTCCAATATGATGTTTTAATTAGCAGTCATAAATATGTCCATTTCTATCTGCAGGAATCCAAGAGTGCCATCCTCACCTCAGTGCTGCAGAGGTACTGTGTAATTATCTATGACACAATTCTATTCTGTTGAATTGGCTAAAGCAACAGAATTATGAAGGAATTGTGTAAGAACAAGCAAACACAGAATAAAGATTTAGAACAAAGAATAAAGATTTCCACCCAGGGATAATTGTTTTCATCATAGTCCAACCAAAGGAACAAATTACCTATATACACAACCAGTGCAGCTCAAGGTGCGAATAAAGCTCATGTAGGTACAGTTACACTATTTTTAAACCAGCTAACTTTTACCAGTATCCTGGAGCAGCATAGACTTCGCCCTGGACTGCAAATCCTACCTTAGGAGCTGGGTGGATTCTATGGAGGGCTAGCACACACCAAGCTTCTTGCTGCTGTGTGTACTTGGCTGTATGTACCAGAGCTTCCCTGGAAGATGTATCCATTAGACTATTTCTTCTAGGACAAGTAACATTTTACACTTGCTGCTATATAGCAGAGTAAAGACCCATATTCACATCTCAGAGAACCTATGCCAGATACATGACATGCTTCTTGATGCTTCTGCATGGGCCAGACAGCTGTCTTTCCCAAGAACCTAGTGTTTTTGCTTTTCTAGTACAGCAACTCCATCCCAGTATTCCCCACAGTGTCTGATGAGAGACCAGAAGCATCACAGAAATAAACCAACATATCTGGAAGGTGTGGGGGAATCCTTGGCTGGATATGATCATAAAGAACAGGTTATTTAAATCACTGTGTAACTCTGTTTTGAAATCAAAGTTCTGTGAGACACGGAGGGAATTTCCAGGGCCCTCCTCTGTAGTATTTTTTTTTTTTTTACAATGACTGCCTCACAGAGACGATAAGGACCCAGGAAAACATATCCGTGTTTTTGGAGGAAGGGAAATGCCAAACTATCAGGCTCGGGCACATGAGCAAGATGTGACTGCACGGGGACCAAGCCTGTTAATTGGCCACACATCTCCTCACATGAAATGAAAGCTTAAGCCTTGAGATGAGCTTTAGCATGAGCTGTGGTACAGTCATCGGTAGACACAGAGGTAGTGCTGCTGCTGGGTAATTCATTGGAAACTTTTCTTGGTATTTCATAGCCAGAACAAGATGGACAGCCTAGCACAAGAGGATGAATGAAAAGCAGACACTATTTGTGTAGATTCAAAATTGAATTAAAATTTGGACACGTTAAAACCAGTTACACATCTCCTTTCCACAAACTGCCTAATAGCTGAGCATAACCAGAAGCATCTGGGCAGAGCCAACAGTAACCGGAATACTGTAATTTTTACCAGATTCATCAGGAAGGAGTAAAGGAGATGAATGTCCAGTAATTGACTGGAAATCACTTTGGTGGAAGGAAAACACATACGTACACCAATATCCGTAAATGGTAAAAGCAAATATTAGCTTAGCATTAATGGAATACAAGACAAGCTGCAGGAGTAAATCAAAATTACATCTTTTATTCTCACCTCTTTCAGCTGTCTGCAAGTGGGTTAGATTCTGGCTCAGCTACAGTAAGGGTAAAACACAGACCTCAGTGGAACTTCAGCAGGGTTATGCTAAAATGTGTGCTTTGAACACAGCCATGTCACATTACCTTCCTGGAGAGGCTGAACGAGTAAATTTATCTGGAGTCCTGAAAACATAAGTAAATTTACAGCAGTGATGTAAGCTATGTTAAGAGTATTTGTTCATACCTCACACAGGATCTGCAGAAACAGCATTCTGGCTCTGGTGAAGCACTCTTGAGAAAGGGAATGATCCTCCCTCTCACAGCATCGGCTTTTGGTGATGGAAACTGAATTAAATGACGGAGTTAGAATCCACTCCCCAGTGCTCC